ATATAAAGCTTTTTGTTGGTATTAATATTGGCCAACTTATAAACTGACATGATGTCAAGATAATATAGAAAACCTTCAGTTTACCATACTTTCTAAGAAAAAATTGCTCAAAGAACATTTAGATACATTAGAGTACATCATTGCAGATGTATTTTTCTGACATTACACGGTTTGTCAACACCATGTTAAACTGTTCAAAATACTGAAAAAAAAAACATTATTTGAAAAGCAGCTGAGAAAATATATAGTTACTGTAGTTTCCAGCTCCGTTCTCAGATATTTATAACTATTGTCTTTGTTATTAGCATACTAGCTAATAGGCATTTTGAAAAGACAAATACACAGAGCAGATCATTACTGAAATCTTTGAAAAACATGGCTGCACTCTTCACATTTAACACTTCATTTTAAGCCTCTAATCAGAGTCTTATTACAGAACAAGATTGTTTGTGCTCTCAAGTTTACTAAGATTATTCTTTTTGGCATTCAAGAGGGATTTTTTTTAAAAGACCAGTGTTTTTTTTTTAAATGTGTGGCCCCAAAGTCAATGTGAAGTGAAAACACATGTGAAAAAAAAATTAAACCAAAAACAGAAATAACTTGGGCAACTATTTATTTAAGTCTTTAAAAAGAACAATGGAATATATATATATATATATATATACAGTATGTTCCAACGAGCTCAACATCTTCATAAATACACAATCATTGACAATTTAGCATAGTCTATGTATAAATGCTCTGCTTTAAATTAAATTCTTATTTTACATGATCCTTTTACACTCAGAAGGTCAAAAGTTGATTTTTTTGTAATTATTTCATTCTGAAGTAATATTTTACATTCATGAAGTAGGGCTTGGTGTAAATGTTATGACTGTTATGAATAATAACTTACTTGTTAAAGCTCAGTTAGGAGAAATAGAGTATTCTGACCAGATTAACAGGACAACGATTAGCCAGTAAATGTCTACAATCTATGTAGATTTCTGTTATCACCATCGATTTTCTATGACATGATTATTTATGGAAGAGGATTAGGGCCACTGAAAAAAAAGAATTCTGAGAACAAACTGACTGTGGTCTAAATCTTTTTAAAATACATTCCAATAAATTGACAGAAATCCTGTTTGGACTTAGCCTACCACAGGCTACGCATTAGCTTGTTTAACCAATCAGAATCAAACTCTTTCATCATTTGTGTATTAAGCTACCCACAACTTTTAAGCCTATTATTAAAAAATCATATATATATATATATATAAACTTTATGAAGAACCTCTTTTCAAAAGAACTAAACTATGCCTTTAGAAATAAATCAAATCATTTTTCATACCAGTCTAAGTAGAGAGAAAATCACTTTTTTCTGTACAGGCTGCATTTTTAAAAATGTCAAACTCTGCCTGATTTCATGAACATCTTATTTTGTGAAAGGAGTATTTGACACATAATCAGCATGATTTTTGTCATGTCTGTACATGCATACCGCAGTGATCACAAAGCAAACAAATGCAGAGAAATGTCAGTGAGCACATTGTATTATATCATTTGCTCTGTTGAAGAATGAAAAGGCTTTGTCAATTCAAGTCTAAGCAGCTACAGTAAATAGCAACAGAGTTGTAATGGCAGCTGTTCTCTCTCATTTATTACTGCATTTGTTCTGTCCCTTCCTGTTCTTCGCAACACCGGTTATCTCTACACGCTGTGCACCGAGTCTGAGCAGGCGTGACATGTTGATATACTGTAAGCCCATGACATATCTGTAGGTTTCACACCTGTGACACTCAATTTCTGCTTCTCTGTGCGTACGTGTACACATGGCTATCAATGCAAAACCACCAAATTAGTTTTAGTCAAATGCACTGCCAGTTCACTTAATGTGGAAACCCATCCTAAAAACATACAACAGTTATGTTTAATGCACAAAATTACAGAAGCTATGTACCAAAGATTCAACTAAGAAAAATAATAGAATTTTGAAAGTGATCCCAGTCAAAAGCTATTATATCTTGAAATTACTCTTTCTTTGACTTCTCTCATCATGAGACCTTATTCTGTCTGCTCAGGCAGCCCTGCTAACCTGTGAATGTGCATGAGTTAAACCATTCATTTCAACTGTTTTCTTATTTGCTTTGGGCAAGGAACTACAAACAGCCAAATGTGAAAAAATACATTTACTCGCACTCTAGCTGCTGCAAAGCAACTCAACCTTTATCCTCTTCTCAACTTTCCATTGTGAGAAGCAATTTGTGAGATATCTGAAGCTCAAAAAACATATAGGATACAGAATATTCTGATCTGCTGGCCTACTGAAACCAAGTAGAACGAACATCACCTCAATGCCTTGACAGTTTAAGATGAAAATAATTCATGTTTCTATTAGAAAAACATGTTAAAATAATTTTACTTTACTGTTGAAATTTTGATACTTGTTGAAATCACAGTACATGCCATGGACACATATGGAACATTATGTCAGTTTCATGGCATTATGGAAAGTTTTATTAATAATTTCCAATGGACTTCATTGACCAAATATGTTTATCTCCATTTTTTTTAGTATGGACATTGTTTAAATGTCCCAAAGCCAGAGTATCCTGGTCCATCTAGAAAATATAATTCAGACTAAGTTTAGAGACATGAAAGGCAATGTCTATGATCCGTGATCTAGGAATCAATCAGTCYCCCCTTAAAATGTCTTGACAAGGACCCAAATGCAGTCAGGTGGGCAGGTTCAGGATTCTAAATTAAAATTTGAATTATTAAACAAAGTCAAAGGCAAAAGGAATCTAACTGCAAACAAAGCATGACCACATGACATGAAAGAAACCAAATAAAAAAAAAAAAACAGGAGAACAATAATAAGGACCTTAGAATTGCTTCTGAAAATCTGTTATAATGTACACGCTGACATTTGTTTGCAGGAGAAAAAAAGCAAGACCAGCAAAAACAAAGCAGGAAAACCGAGCCTAGAAAAAAAACATGAATCCAGATGTTTTAGACATACCCACACCAGCCTATACTTTAAATACATCTATCCATTTTCTTTAACTGCTTTTCCATGCAGGGTCATGGAGGAGAAGGGGCCTATCTCCAGCAGTCATTGTGCGAGAGGTGGGCTACCATCAGGTTGGGATAGAGGTACACTAAAGTCATGTTCCAAGTTCATCACAGGGCCACATGGAGACAAACGAGACAGACAGCTATCCTCACACACTCACACCTAGTGACAGTTCAGAGTTACCAGGTGAACCTTCAACCTTTTTGCTATGAGCTCTGACAAAGCTAATGCTGGGCTACTTTTGTGAACAATGACAACAATTGAAACTACCATAGCATCATAACACTGAGACAAGTGTGGAGGGAATGGAGGGGAAATCTGAGGACATGAATAGTCTCTAARGCAGTGCAGCTATGAGCAGTGACTTAAGGGTAGCTAAGTTCAACCTTAAGGATAGACTGAGGGTTTCAGCTCAGACTGGTTTCATCGGTTCTCTACATCAAACAAACCAAGTTGGCATGGCTTGCATTTCCAGTAAGAAGGTCCTCTTGGTGTTTCCCAAAGGAAGTCTATAGAACCCTTTGATGGAGATCCAGAATACACAGAAAACACTTTTCTCACTTGGCCTAAGTGTCCTCTTAGATGATGGTAAATAGTTAGTTGAGGATAAAAAGGTCTAAGGAGTTTATGCTAAGATAGGTTGTGAAGTTTTGTTTGTTCCAAATGAAGTAAAAAACTAAATCAAACAAAACAGGTATTTACTATGCTAGCCGTGTTGTAAGTTAGACACTTCTATGTCCACACACAGCTTGAAACATGTCATTTACCAGATGTCT